ACGGCTTCCCACGGGGCGCGGCGGGGTCCGGGCCCGGCCCCAGCAAGGGCCCGGAGCCGACCGGGGGTGGGGGGGCAGGCGTGCGGGGTCGGTGGCGGTGCTGTCCCCGCCGCCCCAGCCAGGGGAAGACCTTCCTGCGTACCTGGCCGCGGAGGGGAGGCCAGAGAGCAGGCTGGTTCGTGCAGGTTAGTTCGGCCGCAGGCTCCACCGCTGGAAGGTAGTCCGGTTGTTAAATACGGCAATAGAGTCCCACAGACCTGGTGCAAAAACCCGAAAGTGCATGGGTATCTTCAGGCAAAAATGGGAAGGATTACATTGCCTAAATGTATGGTTACTGTGAGATCTCTAATAATAATCCAGGTCTATTAATATTTAGTTCACAGTAATTGTGACTGAGTCTTCATGGCTGCCATCTGCATTATGTATGTTGCATGTATATAATTAATAAGTATTTTGTAAGCATCAGCTCTTTGTCTGCCAGTACTAATACCTTATTCTCTTCCATGTGTGTCTGAACTCAGCATGTTGTGGGAAGTATTTTGATGATAGATGCTACTGGCAGTCCATTTTTTCAGGCAAGCCAAAAATTTACTGTTATCTAATAGATCTAAAAGTTACCTCAAGCCTAAAGATAACATAGAGCTATCAGCAGGGCCATCAGAAGCCTCCTTCCCTCATTGGTCCCACTGTAGGTAGAAGAGAAGGGTGCAGGGTTTCTCCTTTGCTGCCAATCCTGCCTCTTTCTCCATTCTTATTACTGGAACATAGTATTTGACTGTAAGGACTGCAGAAAGAGATGTGGCTTCGAAATCCAAAGCCCCAAGAATTCACTCGTGCTGAAATTCAGCTCTGTTAGTCACAGATTCAATTGTTTGCCAAAATTATCAAAGTTTAAAAGGAGGTGGTTTAGCATGGAACTAAATGTGTAAGAAATTCTTCCCGTATCCAAACACAGTAGTTCAAAGTCCAACACATTTTATGTCACCACGGTTGTCTGCACTCTCTTTAATCCTTACCCCTCTTGAGGAGGACCCCCATCATCTGATCATTCAGCAGGTGTTTGGTGAACACATTTAACCATTTTCTTTATCTGCTCTTTCTAGTGTCCAAGATGAGGCTGTGGACAAAAGCACCTTTAAGGAATGCAACCAGATTGCTTTTTACAGGTAAAGAGAAGAATTGTAGCGTAGGGTTTTTGTTTTTTTTTAAAAGTAGTACTATTAAAAGATACAGGAAATAGTTACACATTGATTTTTAATCACAGCAAGTCTGCTACTCTCAGGATTTATCTTTCAAAGTGAGCGTTCTACTCACCTGTCAGCAAGCAATAATCAGCATATTTTAAAAGGTGGAATCTTACATACAAAACCTCTTCTGTTAAAATTCAAAAGAGTCAGTCCTCTCATCTGACAAAGCCCCAGCAGTGTTTTAACTATGGGTACACTCAGGCACAGGTTGTTTTCTTGATGTGGATGTTTCTTGAATATCTGTAGTCCAAAACAACAGAATTCTCCATAGAAACCATTAGCCTGTGACAATAGCATAAATGATTACAGTCCTGTTGAACAAGTACCATGGCCAGAATTCAGCATCAAATCTAAATTCTAGCTCATTAGTCTCTTAAAGTTTATCTTAAACTAAGTGATCCTTCCTATCCCATTTCTAACTGAGATACCTCTCCTCTATCTTTTATTCCTCCCATCCTGCATTGTCTTCTGTCCAGTGCTGCCTGGGTGAAAGGAATGATTGCCCAGTGTTATTATACCAATTAGCCACTGACATACTGGGTTACAGTTTCAGATACTCATTTCTGTTCTGCAGGAAATTATGTTCAGAAAACCCCAAATAACATTTTGCCAGCGGGAGCAGGACTCCTCCCTCTTTTCACACCAGCCCTTTCCAGCCACTTGCCGTTTTAACTTAACACATCTGATTTCTCAGCAGGAGGTTGCCACGCATGGGCAAGCATCAGACCCTGTCTTTGCTATGCTTTTAAAAGCAAACCTTTATCTGATTGCTTGCATTTGTGCAATATCCGTTTGCAAGGAAACAAAGTCAGTTTACTAATGAAGAAGCTTCCTTTTAAGGTAGCCTCCAAGACACTTATCTTCAAATAGTTCATAAAATCTGGGCTCAGCAAGGAGCATTCTACAAACAGTTAAAAGAGCCTCTATTTCAGGTTCTCTGTCCTAAAAACATCATCAGGGCCAAAAGCTGTAGTCAAAACTCTGTAGTCAGCAGGCTTGTTGAAAAACAATTTCCTCAGTGTGTATTCAGGAGGTTACAAATTACAAACATATACTGCTTCATCACTACAGAATGTAGAAGCTGTTCACCGTGGGGTTGCAGACCAAGCAGGGGTATATGACAGAAAATGAAAAGCAGATTATTCAGCTGAAATTTCTGGGGTCATGGAAGGAAGAAAAATGTTAACTGGACAACTGAGAATTTAGTTGGCCACTTGAATTAAGACTAATATTATTTAAAAAAAACCTATAGGGTGGTGATTGGTGACCAAACCCCTCTAACATCTCATTCATAAACATGTATGCGTGCTCAGAACTATATTTCTTCTTTTTTCTCCTTGACTTGAAGCACTGATAATAAATGTATTTGAAAAAATTAAAGACAAAATTATTAAGTAAATACTTCTAACAATATTATGTCCCTCTTTGTAACATAAGCCACAACAATTAAGGAGACCAAAAATAATTTTCTGTCTTGACAGGCGTCAGAAACTTCTACATCCTGGCAAATCCTTGTATCGAGCGTTGTTGGATTCAGTCACATTAAGTGATGAGAGTGTCAAATTCCGAATTATTCATGTGGAGAATAAGGTGAGATCCCACCTAGCATAAGAGGGTGCTTACAGAAAGAGCAGTGAATATTATCAACAAGTCTGATAATATTTGCAGGTTTTGAGATTCTTCAGTGATATATATTTAAGATATGATGCAAAGAATCAGCCTAAAGATGTCCTTACTGGTCAGTATTTATTTGACAACTTGACACTGTGCAAGGAGAACAGATATTTTAAGGAACTTAAAAAAAATCTGTAACAACTTTATGAAAAATCCAAATAGAACTCTTTTTAGCTGAAAAAAATGTTTCTAATTCAGAGTTTTCTCCACTATTCCAACATAATAAATTCTTTTTCTGTAATTGAATAAGAAGACCTATGTTCCAGCACCTCCTAACCATACCTTTCTATTCCTGTGTTTGCTCGAAGGCAGTTTTTTGGGAAAAAGAAGTCATCTTCACATTTAAGAAGACAGCCAGGAAGAGAGGGGTCTTCCATTTCTCTAATTTAACATCGTAGCAGCTAGCACATTCACTCAGGGAATCGGCAACCTAACCTGTCCTCAGATTATGGGAGTTTGGACCTACAGCTCTCTTCTGTGCTCTACGCATCACACGATGTAGATGCTCTGCATAAATGTATTTTCTGCCTTTCTTGTTAATCCTGACCTTCTTTGCAGTCAGCACAGAAAAAGGAGCCCATTTTTTTGTCTAGATTTTAAGGTAGAATGAAGACCGAAGGCTCTGCGGCTTCCTAGACTATTTGGGGGTTTATACAAAGGTGGCATAATGTAAAATATTTCCTGGGAAGCAGGATCTGGAACTCCAAATGAATCTTTTCTCTCTTGCATACTCTCTGGTCTTACGGCTCTTTCATTCTTTCATGCTTTTGAAGAAAGCAGAGCTGATTAGCTTCCAGGTAGAAGGAAAAGATATCAGGCCAAAATTCTTCAGCCGGTTTTGTGTCTCACAGGAGGAGAGATTATGAAACGAAGAAACAGAAAAAAAATCTGACTCGCAGTGTAGGGATCCTCCATGGAAGAAAAATGAGTCATTTTGTATGAGCTAGAACAGAGTGACTTCCCAGTTCCCTGAACTGTAAAATAGCAAGTTACAGTGGGTAGGGCAGTGTTACGCATTTTCTTTAGGTGTCTTTCTGACACAGTTTTTCAGTGTCAGCACCGCTGTGAATACAGAGCACTGACGTTTTTGCAAAAAGCCCACATCTCAGTAGTATCCCAGTCTTACATTGACAGCAGAGTAGTGAAATTGTCCAGACTTTGAGATTAGTGTATTCTACCCCTGTTTTCCATGCTGCTTGTGGGGAGAGATGCAAAATGCTAGACATGAGAGACTTGAAGATAAAGAGTCCACTTAAAAGAGTTGCTTCTTCAAAGCGGAGAAGTAGAGTTAGCTGGTGTAAATTCAGATGGATGATGATTGTTGCTCAGCAATGCTAAAGAACATTAAGTCAGAAAGCCTGTTTTTTTCGAGACAGTGAGTGTTTGGTGATGTTGACTTGGAAAGCAAATTGGCATTTGTTATCACTACCAGTTTATCTGTTTGTTTGCTCCCAGGTTCTTCTACAAGTAGAAATTTGTGAAATAGAAGGCAATATTTTCAGGCTTAAAATTGATGAGGCAGCTCCTCTCAGAGAAAGATACAAAGTTCCTGATGTTCTTATAAAGGAACCTACCACCCAGAGGTAAGTATGGGAAGATGATTTAGCACCTTAGTGACTTATACAGCTTCATTTCCAAGAGTGTTTTCCCTTCTCCGTCATTTGTGCTACACTACAGTTGTCTCTCTACAATACTAAGTTGTTACAGGAAGAGAAAATAGAAACACATGTGGTTACTTTACTTTCAAAAATTCATGTTATATTCATAGGAGAAAGTTTTGTCATATGCATAAGAAACGTGAGGCTGTTTGACCCAATCAGAAAATAGCCTACTTGTTATGATGCATCATTTTTACCTAAGGCATCACTTATTAATGTGAAAGGAATGCAAACCCTGGATAGTTTTTCATGGCAGTTCTATAGCCACCTGTTGCACTGTGCAGTGAACCCTGAACACAGCACATATTTCTGGGGTGCTTTGCCTCAACATTAGCATTGAGGTTTTTATAATGTATGCAGATATTCTCAGTCCATCTTTTGTTTCAAATCGTTATTTAGTTACAGTGGATTTTGCGTGCTGCTGATTGATATAAAGCTGTTGTTGCTTTTCATTTGCCAGACTCTTTATATCCCAGAAGGAGGCAGGTATTTTGGTGCTGTCAAGTGTTAATGAGGACTACAAACTTCAAGTCGTAGCAAACCCCTTCCAGATTGAGCTACAGTCCAAGGGTGAGACTGTTCTGAGCATGAATTCCAATGGGTTGTTATATTTTGAGCACCTACAACCACCTCCTAGTGATAGGTACAGTATCTGTCTATCGCATTGTAGTATGTACTGATTGTGCTGTAGCTGAAGATAAACAATTCTATGGAATTGCAATTTCTGTGATAGAAGCTCTTATGCAGTGAAATCTGTCTTCTCTTTTACTTCATACCAGTAAGTACAAAGGTGAAGTTTTAACAAATTCTAGATCAATTAACTGCAGACTGTTTTAATCCCTTGCAGCAGCCATGTGCAAAATGCTAACCTCATTTAATGGCCAATTCTGTAAAACAGTAAAGTATCGTGGTACCCCTTGTCTTTCTTCGGAATGAGTGATGGTGCTATGATGAGGTTATTAGTTTTGTCTCCTTTTATGACTAAACTTACTCTTTAGGTAAGTTTTATTCACCATATAAGCTCTTGAAGTAAGTTTTGTTCAAGTTACAATGTGCCATATAGCTGCAAGGTTTTACAGGTCAGTCCCACTGCAAAGTGCTGAAAGGGTGAGAAACCACAGTGCAGGACATGTAATGACTAGGAAAAGAGCATAGCAAGCATCTCTCCTAGAGAGCATTATTTCAAAAATTGTAATTAACAGGGAGCCCTTAACAGAGAATAACAAAGAAGTGAGGATCTTCTGGGCAGGTAAAACACTGGTGCAGATAGAAATAAATGTGAAAGGCCAAGGAGTCAACCTAACTCAAATATGGAGTGAAGGTTATTTTAAGACATTGAATATTAAAATTATTTGCCAGTTAGAGCTCTCCACTATGACATCAATTTTCAGAATAGGTAAGCACCAGAACTTCTATATAATATATAAAGCAATGCATAATACTATATGAATTTTCTGTT